CCATGCTTAGTTCTCAGCACACACGTCACTCAGGGGACCCAACACTCTCTTCTTGACTCTTGGGGCACCTACATACTCATGGTGGGTAAAAAGAAATTATTTTTTTTAATGAAGGTTTTCAGTTGATTAAAGTAAGTATTTCCCTCGTCACATCTTAGGGCTAACCTGTGTTCTTAATTATTTTATCTTTAGGTGTAGTATGTCTACTGTGCATCACATAAAATGCAGTATCAGATACACACGGCAAAAAAGAGGAAAAAAAAATCAGACTTGGCTCGTGATGGCTGGATTTGACATGAGCAGGGATTTCTCCCTTAATGGCTTTACCAACTATTTCCCTCTCTCTCTAGAAGTCTGCCTTCCTGCCTATTCAATCTCATCTATATCAGCTCTTAGACATCAGTTTTTTCAGCACCATGGGGCATGACACCTTTCCATGCAAAAATTTGGCCTTTCCACGCAAAAATGTGACGTTTGGTCAAAGCCAGAAACAGTAAACTGAAGTTCCCAGAACAAAGGCTGCGCCAGCGGCATTGAGGAGCCCACGTAGTTGACTGACTAACTTTTCTAATTGTAAGCAGTGCAAAGTTGCCTGTCTAGAGTCAGATTATCTTGATCTATCTCTAGTCTCCTTAGCAGTCATTTATTGCTTGCCTTCATGTTTGACCTAATACCTCTGGCTATCAGGTAAAATCCTTTATGGAAGGTAGAAACAGACCCCTTGCTTCCACCAACCCAAAGGGTAAGTGTCATCAGACAGCACCTGGGCCTGAGAGCCCAGACTTTGCAGCTTTGCCGAAGCCCACTACCTGGTGTTCCCCCAAAAGCATTTGAGAAACACCTTGACTCCTGAATAAATGTCTTCGTTCTTTCTCTAGAAAAACGTCATGAAATTGCTACCATGTTGGCTAATCTGGATCTGTTTCCAGGTCACTCATATTTGAACCCAGAATAAACTGTGTCTTTTTCTCTTTGAGGTGAGAGCTGGGCTTTCTGCTTCAATAGATTGCATCAAAATTCCCTCGCGTTTTAATATGGCGAAAGCTCTGTGAGTTCAAGTCCAGCTTGGCCTATATAGAGAATTCCAGGTCAGCCAGGGCTACACAGTGAGACCCTGTCTCAGGAAAAGAACAGAAGAAAATGGTTTGAGCTGCCAAATTCTGGCTTCACGTTGACTATGACTATGCAGAATTTCCCACGGAGCTTCTGGTTTGCCCTCCAGAGTAAAGGGGAGCGTGACACACTGAGTTCTTGTTTTTTTGTGGTTAGTGGACAAACTTGGTGCAAAGAATTTCTTCTAAGATGACAAAGCAATGCTCCGAATATCAGGTTAGAAGTCAACTGCTCAGAAATTATATAT